GGCCAGGCAGCGGCGCCGCCAAGGCGCAGCCTCCCGTCGCTTTCCCGCGCGTCCCTCTGAAAGCAGAGCGGTGCTTTTCGTTTGCTCTGTCGGTAGCAGCACGAGGCCTTTTAAAGGGAAACGGCATGGGTGTTTTTATTATTTTTTTTAATACAGAGCTGCAAAGTATGTGAGCTTTACTGCCTGTTGTTTGCAATCTGACACAGGCCTCTCAAATCTGAAGCAGGTACCAGTGCTCCAGTGTAGCTTTTGGTCCTTCTTTTCGCTCTTGTGCGAAGCTGGTAGCCCTGACTTATCGAGGAGAAAGGGGAGACGCAGCCGGTGCAGTTCTGCTGCGCCTGGATGCCGGCTGACCTGGGGACCCGGCTCTCCCCTCTCCTACGTGGGGACCTTTCGCAGCTGACGCCCCTTCTTCTGAAGCAACGCGAGTCTGGAGCGGCTGCCCGGTGTGTTTGCATGCTGGCAGGACGCGGGAGCGCTGCGCTGCAGGGGTGGAGGCTTTTCCTCATCTTACTTCTGCAGCAGCATCCGTCTCATTGATTAGCTTCTCTTCCCCTACAGGTCCTGCCACTGGGGCTCGGGGTTGGGGGAGGAAAAGCAGCTTCCCCCAAGAAAAAGGGGGCTGAGCCTGGTTGGCGCAGGGCCGTTAGCGAAGGCGGCTTCGCCACCCGCCTGGGCGGCTCGTCCGTCCCGGGACCCCGCTCGAGCCGGGGCAGCGGTGCCGTGCAGCGAGCCCTTTTGTTCTGCGGGGCGCCCCGAGACTGGAAACAGCCACGATATTAACTATGCGTTGTAGTAGTTATATAATATAGTTAATATTCGCTATAAGCCTTGGCCTAACCAGTGCGATATTTGTAGCGTGTGTCAGTGGAGAGGCAGGAGTAGGAGATGCTAGAGGTGAGCCTGGGGTTAGCGAGCAGAAAGTGCTGGTAGTAAAACACGTGAGCGTACGCCTGCGCTAGGCTGTAGGGATGCAGCCTGTGCTGACCCTTGAGGTCCTAATGAAGCCCAAGATGACTTAAGACACCTCAGGTCCAGCAGAGGGTCACCTCCGGCTTCATTAAGACTCTAAGCTAGAACTTGATCTTTGCTCCTTCACGTCCATCAGGACCTGAGGTTTCCTTCCCACCTGCCCTTTGAGGAAGGGCTGGTGACGGCCGTCTGTGAGACGCAGAGCAGTTGCATGCTGGGAACCCGTGACCACGAAAAGGTAAGGAAAACCCCGTCTTTGCACCAGGTGTGTGTGTGTGAGGGGGGTCCTCGCAAGGGCACGTCTCCCCGGTGCGCTGAAAGCAGCCTTGAGCCTCCCCTGCCCTTCTCCTGAGCCAGGCGAGAGGTAGGAGTTGGCACGAGGGTCGCACCGAGCTGGGCAGAAGCTCTGCCGAGCAGCTGGGCGTCGCGCCAGCCGGGTGTCGGGACCTGGGGAGCAAGGCTGTCACCCATGCTGGGGGCTTGCAGTCACCCCACGTCCCCGTCCCCCCAGGAGAGCAGAAAGGACAGGCCCCTGCTGGTGATGCTCGGACCCCCACAGCCTCACCTCT